AAGGAAGGAAGGAAGGAAGGAAGGAAGGAAGGAAGGAAGGAAGGAAGGGCAGCTGCTGCCTGAGGAACAACAGTTGTCTTGGCAATGCACACACACTCACTCGTGAGAGAGAGAGCACGCAATGATGAACAGGAGAGGAAAGTCAACTATTACTTATTAAAAGCCACGTGAAGGGCCACAGGTGTAGCATGTCCTGAGGCCCCAAGTTCAGTCCTCAGCACTGCAAAACAAAAACAAACAAAAGCCTCAAAACAGAGGGCAAAGCAGGGAGGGGAGCGAAGGGGTTCCTGGCTCTAGAAAGATGGGGGAATCTTCTATTCTATTAGGGTTTTATGGAAACGACTCGTCAATAGGAGCCCTTGGAATATCTAAAAAACAAAGTCCTGGGCCTGGACAGGTGGCTCAGTGGTTAAGAGCACTCACTGCTCTTGCAGGGGACCTGGTTTTGGTTCCCAGGACCCACATGATGGCTCACAACCATCTGTAACTGCAGTTCCAGGGGATCCAACTCCCTCTTCTGAGCTCTGTGGACACCAAGCACACACAGTGGGCACAGACAAAAGTGCAGACAAAACACTCCTACACATAAATTAATCGATTTGTTAAAAATAAAGAGATAAACACAAAGTTATGGGGAGGGGGCACTAGAAATGAGAAGAGGCCTCTCAGAGTCAAGAAAGTGCTTTGACTGCAGGTGTCTGGGCTGATTACTAAAAAAATAAACCAGGTCCTGGCCCTGTTGTCAAAAACTTACAAGATCAGTCAAGATTCACTGAGGAAACCATCTGGGCCATGTTTTCACTTCTGTAAAATAGGTACATTTGAATCTACCCATTCCTCCTCATGGAGTGATCATAGGCAGGGTCAAAAAATAACATCAGACTGAGGGTGCGTTTCAGGCAAGAGCACTTGCCTGGCATGCATGAAGCTCTGAGTTCAATCCCTGGCAGGCAAAAAGCTGGGTGTTCCCATACACCTGCAATCCTCGCATACAAGAGACAGGGTAGAAAGACCAGATGTCCAAGGTCATCCTTAGCTAGATAGTGTGTTCAAGGTCAGCCTGGGCTGCAGGAGACTCTGTTGGGGGTGGGCGTGGAGAAGAAAAGAAAAGGAAAGGAAGGGAGGGGAAAGGAAAGGGAAAAAATATTCGCTTCATAAGCCGCCACATGGGCTAGTGACATCCAGGACCCACCAATATCACGGTTCTAACTTCAACGGTAATTTATGTATGTATGTATTTATTTATTTATTTATTGTGTGTGTGTGTGTGTGTACACATGTGTACAGTGTCCTCAGAAGCCAAAAAGAGGGCATTAGATCTCCCGGGACTGGAGTCTCAGGTGGTTGTGACCACCGCGTGGATGCTGGGAATCGAACCTGGTCCTCTGCAAAAGCAGCCAGTACCGTAAACCACCGAGCCACCGCTCATTTGAAAAGCTCTAGGGAATCAATGCCCTCCTAGAAGTTGGGTCAAAAGCCATCCCTGTGTCCCTACAGCCCTGTGTCGCACTGACACACACCCCGGGCACCTGTCCTTGCCGGCTGCCTATGAGACTCTCTCTCACTGAGGCCTCTACTCACGTCTCTAGAACTCAACACATGCCTACCAGAAACAAATTAGCAGCAGTTTAGGTAGGATGAATGAATGAGCAAATGAACCAACAAACCTCCAGACTACCCTCTGCTCCAGGATTAGGCTCCCTGGGAACTGAGGGCAACATTCTTAACTCTACAAATGGAGCCCGAGACTTCAGAGACTATTGGAAGAGTTTGGGTGAACCAGACCACAGAGGGACAGCAGCGTCCAAACCGGCTTACCTGTCATCAGAGTAGTGGCTGCTCAGCGTTGAGAACATGCTGGTCTCTTCTACAGTGACGGTCTCTGTTGTGAACACGGTGACAGTGGAGGTGGTGGAAAGCGTGGTTGGCACTGTAATGGGTGCTTGAGGTGCTTGGCATAAGACAGATTAGAACACCATTCCAGCCACCCACACACAGTGTGCCCTTGCTCTGAACCTGTGAGGGAGCGTGGGCCATGCCAGCCAGAGGACCCCGGAGCAGGGCTGTGGCAAGCAATTAGAGCTGGACCACTAGTGTCCTCTTGGTCTCTAAGAGAGCCCAGAGCTTCTGAGGCAGGCAGGGCTGGAAACAAGTCCAGGGAGGATGGTGAACAAGGGCACCTGAATTCCCCAACCACTGTGACAGTGCTTCAGCCAACACCTCCCTCCACCTTTATCAGGCAAGGACAGGACCAGACAGGAAACTCGAAGAGTGGGTAACATAACCTAGATTCAAAAGGTTTAAAGTCATGGTCATATGGGAAAAAAACAAAACAGCTAATATTGGGGCTGAAGGGATGACCCAGCAGTTAAAATCACAAGAGAGTCTTGCAGAGGACACAGGTTCAGTTCTCAGCCCCTACATGGTGGCTCACAACCATCTGTAAGTTCTAGGGCATCTGATGCCTTCTTCTGGCCTCCATGGACACCTGACACACATGTGAGGCACCTACATGCACGCAGGTAAAACACCCACACACATAAAAGAAATAAAAATTCTTCCACAGCAAAAAGAAAATCCTAACATTCAGGAAGACACTTTCTGGGGATAAGTTAAGAAGTTTCAATAGTAGGGACAACCTTCTTTCAAGGGTTGTCAGGGCTCAGCAAGATAATGCAAGCTTTGCACCATACTGAGCTTCAGGGAGCCCTAGTGACTGTGGCCTGGCCGCCTTCATCTGCTACTGTATCCTACAAGGGCCCTATGACCTGGTGCTGTCTGTTGGAGTGTGGTAGAGCAGAACCCAAGAGAGAGATGACTCCAAGCCAATGTACCAAGACCTCTGAGCTGGCACCACCACCAGGAGTTTCTGCATTCTAGAAGGACTATCGAAGAGGATATAATTAAGTAAAAAAAAAAAAAAAAAAAAAAAAAAAAAAAAAAAAAAAAAAAAAAACACACAGATGGGCTCCTCAGGACACTGCAGACATCAGAAATGCAACTGTGTGTAAAGGCCTTTCTAGACCTCAGGATGGATACAGAATGGGGGTGAGAACAGCATCAGGTGAAGGCAACACCCAGAGCTTCTCAGAGAGCAAGGCACACTTTCCATGGAAAAGCACCATGGCAGGCACCATTGAAAGTGGTTATCTTTGGCCTAAGAGCTAGAGATGGAAATGACCACCCTATCCTCTCCTGGCAATAGACTCAAGAAGAAGAGGGGGAAGTGCATGGAATCCTCAGGGGTCAGGACGCATTTAAGAGATTCCCTGTCTTCTCCACTAATCCCAAGCAATCAGTCAAGGATGTATGGGACTTCAGGACTCCACCTCGCCCAGAATGCAACAGCTCACATGAGTGACAGCTAATTCCTTTAGGTGGGACCTGAGGGCACTTAAAGAAACGTGCGTGCACTTTACCTGGGTCAATGCTCACATCAACTTTAAACTTGTGGTCAAATCCAGACTTCTCAATTGCACACCAGTAAACGCCGGCATCGCTCAGCCTCAGATCCTCCATGGTCACTGTGATGATGAGGTCTGTCTGGTTGTCTCTGATGGACAAACGGTTCTTCTTCACCAACTGCTCTGAATCAGTTCGAATGAGAATCTCACATGATCTCCAAGCAGCTCCTCGGCACCAGTACTTCGTGTAATCCTTCCAGGATGAGGAGTAACGACACTGCACCATCAAGGAGCCCTGCTCCTGACCCCTCACCTCCTCTGGACCTGTGATTTCATCCTGAGCAGTGGAGCAGCCTGAAAAATACAAACCCATGGACCACTGGTCTCCCACTCCAAGGGTGGGGCACAGAGCCAATTACAAAAGCAGCATTAATTGAATAGTGGTCAAAGGAGGGACACCTCTTCTCCAAGACAGGGTGCCTGCCATCCCTTAACAATCTTGAGTCAGAGGAGCCAGGAAAAATCTGGGGAAAACAAAAACAAACAAAAAGACAAAAGGCCAACCATGGTGGCCCAGGCCTTTAATTCCAGCACTCGGTAGAAAAAAAAAAAAAAAACAAAAAAAACAAAAAAAACAGGCAAATATCTCCAAGTTCAAGGCCAGCCTGGTCTACATAGCAAGTTCCAGGATAGCCAGGACCAACTACATAGAGAGATGCTGGTGTGGCAAGACCCTGGTTTGTAATGGAAGTTTTGGTGGAAACTCAGTTATGTCATGTAAATATGTTTTCGTTTTAATCCCAACTGTGGGACCTTAATTTGAGCTTTAGATTGTCCACAGCTGAAAACTGTCTGGTGCAGGGTGTAGTCTTTGTCAGCTGGTAACAGCCTGCCTCGTGCTGCACGGAGAGGGACGTGATCTAGGACTCTGAGGGTGATAAATATGAGTGCCTGAAGAGAAGGTGAGGTGTGCGGTGTTGGCATGGCATGTGGCAGCTTGGAGAGACCAGAGGCAGATGGCGTGGCAGAGACAGAGAGAAACGTTTCAGCACAGCGGCTTGCGGGAGACCGCTTGCTGCATTTGCTGTGGACAGAGATTGCTATTGCCCCCCCCCAAAAAAAACCCAACTGACCCTGGTCAGCTGGGAGAAGTAAAGGGGTCGGTGCCCTGTCTCCCCCCACTAACCTTTCTCTTACCCAGAGTTAAAGGGCTGGTTGCAGGGAGGTACAGGCAGTAAATAACCCAAATAAAATAGAGATATGAAAAACAAGCAGCCACACTGGATTCCATCCCTAACACCTTCCCTTCCCTGACTTCATAAACAACATCCAGGAGTGGTTTTGCATACACTTAAACCCATCAGTCAAGTGGCTGAAGCAGCAGGGTCAGGAATTTAAAGCTAGCCTGGGCTACATAGTGAGTGCTAGCCTGGGCTACATAGACTCTGACTCAAAAACCAGTTATTCCCCCCCCCACCTCCTTTATATCCGTGTGTGTGCTTGCGCACACACACAAGTAGTATATGGGTGGGAGCACATACATGTTTGATGCATGAGCCTGAGCGAATATGCAGACAGCAGCAAAGACATGGCGTCCTGTTGTATTGCTCTCTGCCTTATTCTTTTTAAAGATTTATCTTTATCTTATGTGTGGGGTTGCTTTGCCTGCTTCTGTCTGTGTACCACATGCATGCCTGGTGCCTTCAGAGGCCAGGAGAGGGTGTCGGGTCCCCTGGACCTGGAGTTCCAGATGTTGGTGAACCACTGTGTGGCTGCTGCTGAGTGAACCAGAGTCCTCTGTAAGAACAAGGGCTCTTAATGGCTGAGTCGTCTCTCTAGCCCCTCTGCCTTATTCCTTTGAGAGTCTCTCACCTGAGCCTGGAGCTATGCTACTGGCCAGCAAGCCCCAGCAATCCACCCCTGTCTCTATCCCCTCCCCGACAGCACCAGGGCGACAGGCACATGAGGAGCCACAGCCTGCTCCTGAGATCCAAACTCAAGTCCTCTTGTGCACACAGTGACTGCTCTTGCCAACTGAGCCATCTCGCCAGCCCCAAATCCACACATTGGTAAAGGTCCTCTCACAACAATCCTCATGCTGTGCTGGTGGGAGAGGGAGGAGTAGAAGACACAGGTCCACAGGACATGGACTCTCAGTGCCCACCCTGGGGAGGCCCAGCAAGGCCACATCTAACAGCCCTGAGAGGGCGGAGGTCCAGGGGGCTGCTGTGGTCATCCACCTTGGCCGAATGGCCCATTTCTGTATCCTGTGGCCCCTGGCACACAGGCCCCGTTGTCTGCATGAACTGAGTAGGTGCATTTGTCAAAAAGCAAACTTTTGAGTTTCAGATGGGATTTTTCCATTCTCTTCCTTTGACCTTTGTGTCTATCCCATGCTGATTTTACACTGCCCTGTCTCGTAGTGTCGCAAGCGTTCTAGACAGTGAGAGGGGCTTCTTCTGAAAATGCACGTTGTCTCCTCACCTTTGAAAGAGTCAGGGTACATTGAATAATTTTGGGGAACTGGCGAGATGGCTCAGTGGGTAAAGGCACTTGCCACCAAGCCTGATGACCTGAGTTTGATCCCAGGACCTACATGGTTGAAGGAGAGAACTGATTCCTGAAAGTTGTCCTCTGACGTTCAGGTCCACCATCACTCAGACAAATGCACAGAGCACACACATGCCCAAACAAATAGAAGAAAGGAGGAGGAAGGTGGCTTAGCAATTATGAAATATCCTTTAATTAATTAGGCTTTTCACTGTTTATTTTAACCACATGTTTATTACATATGCTGTTTTGTCCTTATGCTACAGATTTTTCTAATTAATTGTTTTTCTCCCTCTCTTTTAACTCTATCTAAGAAATTTTGAGATCTAGTTGGGACATTAGTTAGTTGTTGTTTTGGTTTTTGTCTCTGTGATAAAAATACCTGACAGAGTAAATCTGAGAAGAGAAAGAAAGATTTCTTCTGACTCCTCAAAGCAGGGAGGGCATGACAGAGCACAGAGAACTGACTTCCATAAGTTGTCCTCTGACTTCCATGTGTGCTCTCTCTCTCACAGTAAATAAAATGTTTTTATTTTTGATAAATGCTAGTCCTTTTTATGTCATTGTTGAAAGATGTATAATATAGTATAATACTAAATAAAAGCAAAGTCATGTATCTCATTCCATCAGTGCCCTATTGTTAGACATACTAAATAAAATCTTTAAAGAAAAAAATAATCTTAGTTGTTCAGTTCTACAAAGGTAGAAAGATGGGAAGAGCAGTGTTGAACACAACCATTTTCTCTCTAATGGAGACATTCATTTGTGCAACTATCGTTTGCTATTTGTCTAATTATCGCTCCACTGTAGTTTTAGGGACAAAAGTCTCCATGCTCTGGAAGCTTCCATTCTACTAAGGTGAGAGAGAGGCACAGACAATGGGGGAAAGAGTGCAAAGGTCTCATTGTTTTGTTTTTGTGTTTGTTTTCTTTTTGAGGTGGGGTCTCCCGTAACTCAGGCCTTGGCCTTGGTAAGTGGAAATGATTTAGAACTCCCACTCCTTTTGATTATGCCTCCTGAGTGGAGCTGGCCAGACCCTGGCAGGAGGAGCTTTTAATTAGGGTCATCAGCGAAAGCCAAGCAAGAAATAATGATATGGGAAATGTGAGGAGCCTGGGACCACACAGGGAACAGAGCAAAGGGGACACAAAGCCCTGAGGCCGAGCAAACCTAGTGTATTCAAGGCCACATGGGGAAGGGAGTTGAACCAGGCAAGGAAGCCAGGGAGAAGAGAGGGGACCAGGGATGTGGTGCAGAAAGAAATCAGGTAGTGAGCACCTTGTAAGCCCTCTGTGAGGACTTAAGATTTTAACTCAAAGTCGGGGAGAAGGTCATTCGAGTTGGATGCCCCCCCCCCCAGATATGGCCTGAGCACTAAGAAAATGCAGAGTTGCCAAATATTAAGACAGGGAATCAGAAGGAAGAGGGGGATCTGGGAAGATTTGGTCAAGCCATGTTTGAAATCTCTTCCTTCCCTCGCTCCCTCCCTTCCTCCCTCCTTCTTTCCTTCCTTCCTTCTTTTATTCTTCCTTCCTTTGTTTTATAGTCGGGGTCTTACTATACCTAAATTTCTTTCTTTTTTTATGCTATATGTGTGTGGATATGTGCTTATGGGTATGTGCACGTGACCACTGGTCCCCGTGGAGTCCAAAACGGGCATCAGAGATAGTTATAGGTAGAAACTCAACACTGGGTGTTGGAAATCAAACTTGGGTCCTTTTGGGGGGCGGGGGGAAGCAAGCCTTTTTAACTGCCAAGCATGTTTGAAATGTCAGCATCTGACTACGAAAGCTGAATACACACTTAGTTATAAGATTCTAGAGTCCTAGAAATGTCTGAACTAAGGGTATGAAATTGAAAGACATTTGCTGATAACATTTCAAGCCAAAAGGAGAAGCCCAATGGCACAGTGGAAGCCACCAGAATACAAAAACAAAACAAACAAAAAAACGCTTCTGCAGTCTAACTTGGCATGCTCTAGCGCAGTGGCTCTCAGCCTTCCTAATGTTGTGACCCTTCAATACAGTTCCTCATGTTGTGGTGACACCCCCAGCCGTAAAACCGACAGATAAATAGATAAATATGTGCTGTGTATATGCAATCATGTCTGCAGGAAAGTACATTTAACTGCAGATCAAACCCTGACAAATATCACATGTTTTCTCTCATACACAAAATCTAGAGTAAAAAAAAAAACACAACAACAAAACAGACATGAAAGTATTTAAGGAAGAGGCAGGGAATCAGTAGAAATGAGAGGAGAAGACAGTTACCCAAGTACATGGTATACATGCATGAAAAAAAAGGGCAGAGCAAATCCCTCATTTCGTGCGATTGATTTTCAGAATAAGTGTCTCACTGTGCAGCCCTAGACTAGCCTGGAACTTGCTATGTAGGCGAGGCTGTCCTTAAACTCACAGAAATCCACCTGCCTCTGTCTTCCAAATGAGGAGACTAAAGTTGTGCATCCCCACACCCAGAACTCTATCATTGTGCTCAAAAGTAAATTCTCTTTCTTTGAACTCGGAACTGCATCCATCCACTTGTAGCTACAGCGCTTTGAGTGTGATGGTACATGCATAGGAAGCCCGCTTCTGTGGTCTAACTCAGCATGCACTACGTCAGTGGTGCTCGGCCTCCTAATGCCACCACTCTTTAATACGGCTCCTCACGTTGTGGGGAACTCCCAACAGTAAAATTAGTTTTGTTGTTGCTTTGTAGCTGTGATTTTGCTGCTGTTAGGAATCATAGTGTAAACATTTTTGGAGGTCGAGGCTGAGGCAGGAGGATCATTGGTTAGAGGGCCAGCCTTGGCTGCATAGGGAACCCTCCCCCATCTCAAAACACAAGAAAGTGTTGTCAGCCCTTTATCTGTGGCCTTGTCTCCTGTCCTCCTCCTCACCTCTTCTGCCCCTTGGTCGCTTCTGTTCTTTCCTTCTGTCCCAGAGGCTGTGAATCACCCATCCGTCAGTTCTGAACAGCAGATCTCCTCTTTTCGGTACCCTACTCACATGCTCACGTCTTCCCCAAAGCCTTCCCTTGTTGGAACACATTCACGAGATGACAGCCCAGCTCCATCAGATAATCTCCCGAGCAACCAGGGCTCTCCCCGCCTCTCAAAGGCCAGGGGGGCCCATCGCTGTCTGACTTAAATCTGATCAGCCCCGCAGTGGTCTGGAATTGTGCCTGGGACCGGGTTTAAGGGCTCAATATTTCTGACAGGAAGATGCCACAACACTGGGGTAGTAAGTGTGTAACACCTTCTCGATGGGCACCCTGTTCCCTTTGAAAAACACTTCCTCTGGGTGCCTAACCCCGATGCTCACCTGAGATCCAGAGGAGAAAAGGAACCAGCAGCGGCAGCTGCATCTTCCCACAGCCGTTGGCCTTGGTGGAGCCTGCCAGCAAGAGCAGACTACATGCTCCGCTCCTGCGTCTCCTTGGCCTCTGATTTCCCTCACTCTCACCCTGGCACTTCCTCCTGCAGCCACTTCCCACTGGCGAATAAAACCAAAAGAGGAAGGAGGTAGAGCGAGTGAAGTGTAATGCGAGAAGTCAGGCTTATGAAAAGGGTTTTGAGAAACTCTACTCAGGGCCAGGGTGACTTCTCTGGAAAGAGAACTGGGGGCCTCCTGCTCTGTGCATGCATGCCCAATGGTTCTAGATCCCCTCAGCTGTTGCCAGATCTGCTGGAGCCCACACAGCCAAAGCTTCAATAGGTTGAAGGGTGTCAGAGTCTGGGATGGGGAGCCAGGAGGAAGCTGAGGAGGTGTCAAAAGCCATCCTTGTCATGAGTGGTGGGCACAGCCGTAATCCAAGACTGTGAGAGGCAGAAACAGTGAAGTTGAAAGTTTGACAAGAACCTGAGCTACATAGCAAGCTCAAGGCTAGCCTGGGCTACGTAGTGACACCTCTCTAAAAGAAGGAGAGGAAGGATCGCTGAGTGGAAGAGCTCTTGCCTAACAGAAGCAAGGCCTTGATCCTCAGCTCCCCCAGCCGTTACAAGATTACAAAGAGAGGTGCTCAGAGAATTAGGATATACGAACAGGGATAGTGTAATTATCCCTGCTTTGAGAACATACTTGTTAATCTGCCCCCAGCCTACTGGGTAATAGATACGGACTTAACCTGAATTCCCCCGAAATTTAGTGACTATCCCAGGGCTACCACCACACACAAAGAAACCACCTTGCTATTCAGAACCTCTGACCGTTGACCCCACACTTCCTCACAGTAACCATTTGTCCAAATAAGAAAGAAAGGAAGGCCAGCCTTGAGGGCCACTTTTCATTCTGGTGCCAGGTCCCCTCTCTCACACACACACCCCTTTCCAGCAAGCCTTTAGAACGGGGTCACTCTTGGTAGGTGCCATACGCACCTTGACTTCACAGTGCCCTAAAGCCCTGGCCAAGCTAACCAGAGGTGAAGAGGTGTGTGGGAGGGACCGTTTACACTGAAAACACAAGCTGCTGATAAGCCACTGCTTTTCCAGGATGTGGCCAGAGATGGCCACTTGCTTTACATTTTTCTAGACCATAAAGGAAGGGCCAACAAGGGCACAAGGAGTCTTTCGCTCACCACCGTTGATCAAACAGGTCTCTTTCCAGGGCTCTGCACACATGTACAGAGACAGGCATCCCCTGCAACCTGGAGGGGAGTGCCTTTCAGGGCAGTGGTCAACAGACTGGGGGAGCCCAGAAAACTTGGAGGGTCCAGAAGTGATTTTTCCTTTGTTGGATAGAGGTAACAAAAAACAAACAAACCAAAAGGGAGCTGTCTGTCAAGAGCCTATGGCCAGAGTCTCTGATCTTGGTCCTCTCAGACTGGCCCTTCCAAGATGGAGGACCACCCTTTGAATCAAGGACACAGATTTATCCAATCCGTTGTGAGTGACAATGAGAGAGCCCCTTAAACAAGGGCCTCTGCCGAAGCTGAGAGAGTCGGGGTATTCGGGGGCCCATGTTCTCAAAGACCCATTGGAGGCCTCAGGTTTGGCTTGGTCATTGATTTCTGCAAAACTCAGTTAACCACCCCCCCCCCAGGCTGCATGTCTCCATTGGTGAAACAGGGCACTGAAGACATTGTGATGGTACATACCTGAGGATCAGGAGTTCAAGGCCAACCTCAACTACATAGTAAGTTCCAGGTTAGACATGAGTTCCCGTAGAGGAGACCATCGAAGAGTCTCCCTCCCCTAAAGCACTTTACAAAATGTGTGCACACGTCCATTGTAGGTGTTAGTATTTGTGGAAGGAGCTGCGTATGCATGTGCATTGTCTGTATGTGATATGTAATGATGTGTTATGTGTACATATGTCTGTGTGCGCGTACGTGCACGTGTCTGTGTGCATCTCTGTGCTGTCCATAGGGGTCTTCTGGTAAACAAACAAACAAACAAACAAACACATGTAACTTTGAAAAAAAAAAGTGTGCTATGAAGACCAGTAACCAAAGGCTAAGCGATAGAGGGGCTGGAGAGAGAGCTCAGCATTCAAAACCGCACACTGTTGTTGCAGAAGACCCAGGTTCGGTTCCCAGCACCTACACCGGCTCACAGCTGCTTGTAACTACAACTCAAGCGCACCCAAGCTCCTCTTCTGGGCACCTGCACTCAAGCCCAGTACCAGACGCAGATATACACACACGTACAAAATTAAAACCAGGCCGAGAGGGATGGTTCAGCAGATAAACGGGCATAGTGCTCTTCCAGAAGACTGAGTTTGCTTCCCAGTATGCATGCCAGGGAGCTTACAACCATGTGCTAGTCCTCCTCTGGGGTCTGTGCACTCTTCTGGCCTTCACATGCACATGCATATGACACACACACACAAATTATAATAACAAATCTTGGGGGGGGTTGTTTGTTTGTTTTTAGAGACAGGGTATCTGTGTAGCCCTGGCTGTCCTGAAACTTACTCTGTAGAGCAGGCTGGCCTCAAACTCACAGGGATCTGCCTGTCTCCTCTGCCTCCCAAGTGCTGGGATTAAAGGCTGGTGCCACAACGGCTACCTCAGCCACCACCCTATCATAATAAATCCTTTAATTAAGAATTGCCTAAACAAATAAACACTTACTAAAACAGCTAGTTCTTCCTTCCCCTATGAAAGGAAGGGGCTTTGCCTTTCTTACGTGGCTAGAACCATAATAAACAATGTACTTGCAATTTGTAACACAGGTATTACAATGTTACCAGTAATTATTCTGAAGCACTGTTTTTCGAAGTCCATTTTATTTATTTTTTTTGATCAGTACATTACACTAGTTATTTTAGGTATTTTATATATGAAATCTACTATGTGTCAGATTATTTAATCTATTTAAAGTGTTGAGCTGCTAGCAGAACTTGTACATTTTACAGTAACTCAAAATTAGTAAGGAAAACAATTCACCCATGTTTAGTTTTATATTGAGGTGCTCAGATTAGAATAAAGTGGTATAAAAGGCAGAATAATAATAATAATAAATCTTTTAAAACTAAACCCAATAGAATTGAAAATAATCCACAGAATTAAATCTTGCAGTGATGAAAAGCAACTGTCAGCCACACTTTCTTGAACTTGTTCCCAAAATCCTGACCCTGCCAGGATTTTTTGCCATCCAATGTGGTTGTTGGGAATCAAATCCAGACCTTTCCAAGAGCAACCTGTGCTCTTAACCTTGTGGCATCTAGACAAGTATACTATTTTCATTCAGAAGCCACAAGAACTCCATCGCTCCATGGCTGGTTGTGATCTGAATGGTATCCCTGCCAGGAGCCTAGGGCTCCCTGCCCTCCTGCTTACCTTCTCAGATGCACTGAATAGGGCTTCTAGGACTTTGTCCTGTGGTCACTGAAGCTGAATTGCCACACACTTAGCTGCATGGGGTTCCTTTCAAGACCCCGTGCCAAAGTTAGTATTCATAATTTGGAAACCTTTTTTCCTCAGAAGGCCCCAGGATTGCATTAGCGTCAGGCCTGAAGAAGCTGTGCCGTGACCCCTCCCTCAGATTCATATCCTCTTACCTCAGAGCTTTTCTCTCTACAGAGAGTCTGTTCCCTTTGAATGCAGAACGGACTCATGACCTGTTTTGCCTATTATGATACAGCAGAAGTGGGGTGTGCCAGCCCCCAGCCCTACTTACGGCCCCTATATTTCCTCCTGCACTTCCTGCTTCTGCCAGGAGCCTGTTGGCCTGCTGGGTGGGCACCAGAGACAAAAAGCAGAGCTGAGCTGCCCTGGTCACTAGCCAGCAGACCCCAGACATACCAGGGAGCCACCCAGACCAAGTGCTGACTCGAATTCTGCCCTTGAGTTTGGAACAGTTTACTGTGGCATTACAGTGCTGGAAGAGAAAAGCTGAGAGCCCCTGGAAGCGAGACCTGCCTTCTGCTCTGCAGCTGTAGCTGTGCTGGGCTCCTGTGTGTTCCTCTTCCATATGTCTCTCTCACAGCACTTACGCCTGACTTCATTCCCCCAAACCCCACCTCACTGACTCCTCGATGCCATTCAGATCACAGCCAGCCATGGAGCGATGGAGTTCTTGTGGCTTCTGAATGAAAATAGTACACTTGTCTAGATGCCACAAGGTTAAGAGCACAGGTTGCTCTTGGAAAGGTCTGGATTTGATTCCCAACAACCACATTGGATGGCAAACAAACACCTGTAACTCCAGCTCCAGGGGATTTAACGCCATCTTCTGGCTTCAACATGTAGGTGCACGCATGTGCTCATACCCACAGGCAGACACACAAAAATATGTAAGTAAAAAAAAAGAAATAAAGCCAGGCAGAGGTGGGACACCGCTTTAACCCAGCAGTCGGGAAACAGAAGCAGGTAGATTTCTAAGTTTCAGGCTAGCCTGGTCTACAGAGAGAGTTCCAGGACAGCCAGGGCTAACACAGGGAAACCCTGCCTCAAAATAAATAAATAAATAAACAAATAAATTCTTCAAAATAGTACATTTGTCTAAACTACTAAACTAACACGCTCATTATAGGGAACAGAGAATAAGGCAGGAAGGAGGAAATTAATTGGCCCTAATCTCACCATGAGAGAACACGCTTAACATTAATGTTTAGATTTCACTCATCTAATCTCTTCCTACAGAAATGCATCGTCTGTCCCAGGAATCAGGGCACACCGAGGCGAAACTGACGTCACCCAACATGTTACTGTGTGTTGCAGGGAAAGCTGTCCTATGAAATGAATGTCACCAGAAAGGGAAATGCTGATGGCCAGCCTCAGCACTCTAAGGGCCTGTGAATTGTGCTGCATGGTGGAGAGGCTCCACGTAGCACCCAAAGGTTGGTCATAGCCATGCCTCCATCCTGCCACGATGGACTCTTATCCCCCTGGAACCACAAGCCCCAATAAACCCGCCCTTCTACAAGTTGCTCTGGCCATGTGTTTCATCACAGCCATAGAAAAGTAGC